TGGGTTCTGTGATTCTGCTGCTGTTTTGTTCCTTCAGTTTTCCTTTGTTCTTATACTCCTCAGATGAGTGAAATCATTTGGTATTTCTCTTTCTCCGCTTGGCTTATTTCACTGAGCATAATACCCTCCAGCTCCATCCATGTTGCTGCAAATGGTAGGATTTGCCCTCTTCTTATGGCTGAGTAGTATTCCATTGTGTATATGTACCACATCTTCTTTATCCATTCATCTATCAATGGACGTTTAGGTTGCTTCCAATTCTTGGTTATTATAAATAGTGCTGCAATAAACACAGGGGTGCATCTGTCTTTTTCAAACTGGGCTGCTGCATTCTTAGGGTAAATTCCTAGAAGTGGAATTCCTGGGTCAAATGGTATTTCTATTTTGAGCATTTTGAGGAACCTCCATACTGTTTTACACAATGGTTGAACTAATTTACATTCCCACCAGCAGTGTAGGAGGGTTCCTACACTTTCTCCACAACCTTGCCAACATTTGTTGTTGTTTAAGGACCATTTTTAATATCTGATCAAATATCTTCCTCTAGTATCATCCCTAGGTGGCTTCATTATAAAGAATGGCCCCCAAATCTCTTACTTTCTGCATTAAGAGCTGGTTTGGCTAATGCTAATGCAAATAACTTCCTATCTTTACTAGAAATATCTATCATGAACGTACCACAGAAAGGACTCCCACCTCCAACGGCCACTTCCAAATATGGACCCGGGCCCTCTTTCCCACTCTTTCTTCCTGGTGAGCTTCCATCTCCTGGCTAAAGAAACCTCCCGAAACTTAGACTCTCTTGCTGTAAAAGAGTACCTTCTTTCTTAACTCAGATAACTTGAGATTATTTACCTTTCTCTCTACAAAACATTCACAGCCCTTGGGTTCTAGAGAAATGCCTGCCAGCCTCTCCAGATGCCACCACTGGGTCCCACAGGCTTCCAGCCTCAGGTCAGGAATGCGCTCTTCAACCATTCACTTCAAAATCCACTGTGAGTATTACTTTGGTAGTTAGATTAACACCACATTTAAAGGCCACCACTGAAGCTGTAGCCTCCCATTTTCTTCACTCTCCTCAAATTTATTTTGCGGATTAATGATTTTATGTAGTTTATGTAGCATGTGCAGCAGGAATGGGTTTGTAGGGCTATATTGAATGTAATACTCTCACCTAAGTTTGTTCAGCAGTACAGCTATAATTAACAGCCAGCTGATCAACCTGGTGGTGGTGAATTGCTGCCTGGGAGGGAATAACTAGTTGCTGAAACAACAGTCAACTGAACTCAAACTGGCAATGGAATGCCAAAGAACACACTCTTCTATTCCGGAAATCGTTTAGAAAAGCCCAAAAAAAAGCTTCTATCAAAATTTGCTTCCAGTCATGAAAGTGGAGATGGTCAGACTCACCCCAGTGGAGCCCTTTCCCTGTGCAGAATCAGAAGTCAGCCTAGGCCCTCACGGCTGCCTCTGCCTCTGTTGATGCGGGGATGTGGCCAGGAGCCCTGGTGGCTCTGCTCCCCTCTCCTCCCCTAAGGGGGCATCTCCAAGTGCCCAGGGCTCCGCTGTGCTCAGATTTGAAATTTCTAGGTTGCAGCGTGACAACAGTAAGGTCAAGGGCATGGTTTCAGTGACCATGGGGTCCAGGACCAACATCTCCCATTTACAAACACAAAACACTGGGTTTGTAACACCATTACAAACATCAACACCAGGGCTCATAAATACCAACACCACAGTTCATGCTCAATAAAAAAGTTACTTTTGTTACTATCCTTAACCAACATTCCTGCAAGTGTGTTCCTGTGTTACAAACAGGAAGAGTGAGTATGCAGAATCTCTGCAGATTACAACTCCAGTAGTACACCCTACTGTTAGGTCAACAGAGCCATCTTTTCCATTAAGAACATTTCATTTCACTTAAACAAAAATAATAAGTGCCTCTTAATGGTTTTATTACTGGGGCTGAGACATGTCTATGGTGCCAGACAAGAAGCCTTCCCAGGACCCTTCCAGACCTGAATCTCCGCATTTCTCTGATGTCAGAACAGGAGCCCAGACAAACGTCCAGCAAATTACTGTTTCACAGCCTCACACATCTCACTATTATCTGTCAGAATTTCTGCAGTTTCCCACAGCCAAAGCCTCCTCGTGATTATTCCTTGGGAAGATTAGACTAAGCCTTTCTTTCTCCAACTCTGTCACCTCCTCTCTGAGACCATATGTGTCTCAAGTTTAGATTTGGGATTGACATCTAAATATGAAGTTTTAGGCAATGACGCAGTGACAAAATATTGCCTTGAATTGTTACTTAATTGACTATATTCATCTGGAGAAAGAGGGTTTTTTTTTAGAAGATTTCAAAGACCTGAGATGAAGTGGTTCCTTTACAATCCTCTTACCTCTGACTCCAGCACACCACCCCCATTGTGCCCAGAACATGTCACTGCCCATTTCCAGAGAAAATCAAAGCCAGAGCAGCAACTGCCTGGAGCTCCTGCCACTGACCCAGAATCTGCGCTCTCACTCCTCCACCTCTATTCCAGTGGAAAGGAGCCATGCTCTGGGCCTGAGGACCTCACTGGCGCCCTGGATTCCAGCTCCCAGCACCTCAGTCCTGACTGCACCAGCCATCTCCTGGCCCCCCACATTTGCGGGCACCCCACCTACTGCCCTGTCCTTGGCTTCTCTGCACGGCCAAGCTTAGCCGAAGGAGTTGCAGGGCCAAGCAATGGACAAGTAAATAAATGAACAGATACCCGAGGGGCTGTAGAAGACAAACACTAGTGTGAGGGCAAGACAGTAACCGCAGAAACCATGCCTCGTTTCCAAGGGACACGCTTCTGTCTGAGATGATACTTGAGCTGAAGTCACCAGAGCAAAAGGTCTTGGGCAGAGCATCCCCAGCAGAAGGAAGAGCAAGAACAGGGCCCCAAGATGGGCACAAACACTGTGCAGATGTGAATTTCGTTTGCACGTGGGAAAGGACAGAACAGAAAGAAGGCAAGAAAGTCTGGTCCTTCTGGGTAAGAAAGGCCCTTGTGTGTCACAGTGAAAGGGACCAAGCCCAGCAGAGCAATAAGCTCATTGCCCTGGGGGCTGGGTCCTGGCCCCACCTCATCTCCTGGGTAGAGAAGGGTTGGAGGAGGGGGCATGGGGGTTATCTACTGCTTCACCTCTTCAATCCCAGCCCCAAGAGCCAGTAAGCAAATCAGCACTTAGGGGCTGAAAGCCAGCTTGGATGACTTCTGCACCAGACCCCCTGGAGCCCTAAGAGAGACTCCCCACTCCAACCCCGCTTCCTCCCCAAGCACTGAATCCACGGGAAAGTGGCCCAGGACAGGCTCCTGTAAGGCCAGGGCCAGGTGCACACAGAACCTGAGTCAGGGTCAGGCCCAGCAGGGAGTGTCCTACAGCACCACCTTCCCTCCCAGACAGCTCTGCTGGTCAGGGTCCTGGGGTGGGGGTTGGGAGGGGCACAGAGCTGACATGGGCTTTGGAGGGGCATTCCAGGATTTGTGCTGGGGAGAGTAACAGGCCAGGAAGATGTTCTTCCAAAGCTAAATTCCCCAACACACACATGCACATGTACACATGCATGCCCACATGCACACACCAACCCACAGGAATGCAGGGTGATCTGAGGGCCCCCTGTTTAAAGGGGACAGCCCCCCAGCATGTGTACGTTTGCAGGGGGTGTGGTGGAAGCAGGGTGGAGCCGGGCGGGCCGGGGGTTCCCATGGCTCTGGTTCTGGAAGTGCCGTGAGGCCAGTTGCCTGTGTAGCTGGGTGGGGGGCAGCATCTCCAGCCCCACAGAGGGCCCCTCACAGCAGCAGCCACCGCTAAGTCTGGGGGACCCCTCAGCAGAGTTGGGAGAGGCATCCGCCTAAAGTAATGAATTCTGGAGCTGGGCACAGGCGGGCTGGAGGGGCTGGAAGGCAGTGCCCTGCAGGGTCTACTCTGTCCCTGCGCCAGCTCTGGGAGGCACCCTGGAGGGAGCTGCCTCCTCAAGCCCTTCCCTCAGCTCTGATGGCACTTGCTGCCCCTCGGTGGGGTGTGGATGACTCCTAACCCCATGGGAATTTCACTGCATTTCTGGATTATTTGCATCTCTAATACCTTCCTCGGAAAGAGCCTGGACCCTTTCCAGTGTCCATGGTGCCTCTGACTGTGGGCCAGTGCCAGGAACGGACCCGAGAGGCCAGCAGAAGCACACGGCACAGGAGAGAGGAGCCAGCCAGAGGATCCACCACAAAGAGGATGGTCAGGATCAGAAGCTGGGATGGAGGGGCTGGAGGCTGGAGGGCACACATGGGCTGGCCCTTGAGCCACCCTGATCCAAAACCCTGGTGGCCTGCACACATGCTGGGGAGAAGGTGCTGCAGCAGGGAGCAACGTGCACTGAGCTCTGGAGCTCGGGGGCCCCGCTGGGGCCCAGGCTACAGGAGCACACCCTCCAGGCCCCTCACCTCCAGGCAGGCCGCCGGGCACCTGACAAGGAGACCCTGGGCATCGCGGTGTCACCCGTGTCACAGTTACAGTAAAGAACCTGCCCCAGGGCACGTGGGTGGAGCGGCAGGGAGTGTGGGGGCTGAGGCCGCCCATTCGCGGGAGGCTCCTGTCACTTCTTCCGGGGGGTGGTCGGCTTGGTCCTCCTTTTCAACCTGGTTTACAAAGAGAAACATAAAAATCCATGTTGCTACATGGCTACTCTCTCCAGGCTCAGTTAACAGAACTGTGAATTTGCAGACCGTCTTGGAGGGAAGTCCAGCCTTAGGATCCCTCCTTAAGTTCTCAATTCTGGCAATCTCTGGCCAAAATAATAAGATAACATTTTTCTTCCTGGCTTGAGCCTAGGAAAGATATTCTTTAAAAGTTTTACTTTTATGTACAATAACTATTGCTTATCTGTTCAATCAAGCAGAGAATTTTGAAACACAGAAAAGCACAAAGGAAATCAAAGTACCACTCCACTCCTAGAAAAATCTAGTTTTGCAGCCCATAACACGTAAAGATGTGAACATACACACGTTTACACACAGGATATATGCACTCACATAAAATCATGAGCATACTGATGTGTTCCTATTTTGATGGGGAAAAGACTGTGTTCAAGAAGGAAATACATACAACTCAGTAAAGACATCATAAATATGTGGCCCCAGACACCTATTGCTTGGAAGCTTACTCTCCAGTTGAGGGATTGTATTATATAAGCTGCAATTTATTTAGACAGCAAACTCCATTTGGCCACTTTTTTTTTTTTTGTATCATTAATATACAATCACATGAGCAACATTGTGGTTACTAGATTCCCCCATTATCAATTTCCCACCACATACCCATTACAGTCACTGTCCATCCGTGTAGTAAGATGCTATAGTGTCACTACTTGTCTTCTCTTTGCTATATTGCCTTCCCTGGGCACCCCCAAATGTTAATGTGTGCTAATCGTAACGCCCCATGTGGCCACTTTTGAAATGAGGCCAGGTAGGAAAAGTTTCACAACAAATTTCAGAACCAAAGTTCTCAATGTAAAAAGCAAATAAGAAAACAAAACAAAACAAAACAAAATACCAAGATGCGTGCATTAGGAATATACTAGAGACAGCTTATGGGGCTTTTCCCATAGTTTGAGGGGTTAAAATTAGAAAGAAAATTCATATTCAGGTGTTAATAACAGCATTTTCTATAGCCCCAAATTATATATCAGGCTAACAGTGCTGGTGCCTTTCAGACATGATTGAAGATACCAGGAAAAATAAACAAATATTTTAGGGGAGTGGGTGGGGGGATGAACACTAAGATAAATTAGTTGCTGGATGGAAGTAAAGCACAGGGAAAACAATCAATAATAATGTAGTAACTTTGTAATGAAGCAAAACTGAAGGAACAAAATAGCAGCAGACTCAGAGACTCCAAGAATGAACTATTGGTTACCAAAGAGGAGGGGTGTGGGTGGGCGGTTAGGGAGGGAGGAGAGGGGGATTGAGGGGTATTATGTTTAGTACACATGATGTGGGGGATCACGGGGAAGACAGTGTAGCACAGAGAAGGCACATAGTGAATCTGTAGCATCTTGCTGCACTGATGGACAGTGACTGCATTGGGGTATGGGTGGGGACTTGATAATATAGGTAAATGTAGTAACCACATTGTTTTTCATGTGAAACCTTCATAAGAGTGTATATCAATCATACCTTAATAAAAATAAGTAATAATAATAATGCTCTGTATGGTGACAGCTGGTAACTCCACTTATTGTGGAGAGTATTTCTTAATGTATAAAATTGTCAAATCATTGTGTTGTACACCTGAAACCAATATAATACTGTGTGTAAACTATACTTCAATACAAAAAAAAAAGAAACATGCAGAATGAATCGTAGCCTGGATGTTTGGAACACACCCCTTGATACTTAGGAAAAGCATCTCTTCATGTCTTCTGGGTTGCCTTGATGCCCTCCAGCACAGGACAGCCTATTCATATTAGACTCCCCTCTATCCTGCTTCATATATAACCTGGGGCTGATGCTAGTATGGAAGCCCACAGACCCGTGGCACTGCCTTGGCAGGTACCACTGCAACTAGCCAGTGTGGCACCTTGGGTGATATGAGCACTGAATTGTCTAAGTGGCACTCTCCTGGCAATGGCATGATACCAAGGGGATGGGGTACAGCAGCAGCCCCTGAACTCCAGTTCACCCAGGAAGCAACTGAGTGAGGAGGATCTGCTAGCTAGGATTAAGTGACACATGTGCCCTTGGTAGCAGTCCTAATACCATCCACTTACCTAGTACTATAAGATGATGAGCAAAGGCCTGCATAGTGATAATTAAGGAAGTAGATAATTCTACATTTTATACATGGGAAAATCTGGTTTTGAGAGAATAAGTCACTTGGACCAGCAGCAGAACTCAGACTCAAACCTAATGCCAGAGTCCTGGGCCTTTCTTTGTGCCAGACTGCCTGCTAGGTGTGCATGGAGGTCTCATTCAGTCAATAACATCAGCCAAGCCCTGAGTCAGGCCCAGGGAATATGTGTGTAAGATTCAGCAAGAGAAATGAACACTAGAGGTCTGAAATGGAGCAGTGGAGCAGCTGAGTCCAGAGAGAAGTGACCATCTGCTCAGCATGAAGTGTACAGGCTCTTAAGGCAGACAGCTCCTTAAGACTGACACAAAGATGATTCTGCAGACACAGGAGAGAAGTTCCCTGCCTGCATCCCAACTGACCAACTGAATACAAGTCACTGTGATGCAAAAATCAAGCCCTGTATAAAATGTCCTTGTCATCTTGCAGCACAGCTTTGATGAAAATTATCAAGACTGTCCACATATCTGAGCAGAAGACACAAACAGCTCAAGCCCAGGTAGGGCTGGAGAAGGAAGAGGACCACCATCACATGGCTGTTGCTCAGAGTGTTACCTCTCTCCAAGAGGAGCTTGGCCCTGAATGAGGATTGGAACTGAGTCTGTCATGCAAAGTCCTGACAGCTTTGGTAACCGTTTCTCATAAGCATTGAGGTGGCATTGGTACCTGGTGATCTTGGGTATTACCATGATAATAATTCTAGCAGAAATTAGAACTTCTTTGATTCTTTAACTCCAAAGCACATTCATACCCATTCTTGAATTTGATGGTAGAGCATGTCAGTCAATGAACCATGAGAACCATATCTTGAAAAGAGGATGTGAAGAAATGATGGGTATGAACCTACAACCCAACCCAAGCACCTTATCTGGCTGGGCTCAGGCCTTTGGGCTCTAACCCTTTTAATGATCCAGAAAGCCAATTTGTCAAGGACTTAATCTTGTCCAGAATATTTCTAGAAAAAGAAAATGTTCTAAGTGAAATGGTTATACAAAAGCTAGGCATACAGATTGAAAAGGAAAAAATTAAACTATCTCTATTCACAGATAACATGATTGTCAGTGTAGAAAATTCCAGAGTCTACCTCCTCAAAAAAGCCAAAAGTGAGATTAATAAGACCATAGGATACATGACCAATACACAAAAATCAGTTATACTTAAATACTGGCAATGAACAACTGAAAATTGAAATGGAAAAAATGCTATTCTTAAAAGTACCTGAAAGTATGAAATGCTTAAGTATAAAGCAAACAAAATATGTGCAAGGTCTTCAGGCTGAAAACTACATTACCAAAAACACCAAAGGAAAGGAGAAGGTATACCATGTTCATGGTTCAGTGTTGTTAATAGTTCTCTCCCAGTGGATTTATAAACAGCACAATCCCATTCGGTCCTACCGGGATATATTGTAGAGACTGACACTAAAATTTTGTGGGAAAGCAGAGGAAGTAGAAGCCCTAATAGCAAGTTCAAAAACCAAGAATAAGTGGAGAATTCACACTAAGCTGCTTTCAATACTGTAAGCTAGAATAATCAGGTTGGTGAAAGGAAAGAGACATAACTTAGAACAGATGGAAAGTCCAGAAGCAAACTCACACATTATGGTCAACTGATTTTTGACAAAATTACAAAAGTGATTCACTGGAGAATCTTTCCAACAAATGGTGCTGGAAAATTGAATATCCATATGCAAAAAACTGAACCTCAATCCAGACCTCTCAGCATTTACAAAAAATTAATTCAAAATGGATAATAATACAAATAAAAAACCTATGCCATTTGTGGGGCACAAACCCTTAGGGCAAGAGGCTTTCGCAGCTGTGCTCAGCAGCTCCCTGCATCTGTGACCAGGCTGAGCAGTCCTAGGTTCATGAACTTGCTCTAGATGAGGGCCCCATGGGATGAATGTAGCAGGAGGATGGTGCCAACAGGAAAAAGCTGTTTATCAGGACTACTTGACTGAGTGGCAAGGACCATGAACATGGGCGGGGCAGCAGCTGTCAGGCTGGGAGGACACACAGCCCTCAGGATTAGAGGTCTCTGGTGCCAAGCGCAGCTCTGCAGAGGCACCTGCTCCCATGTGGGAAGGAATTTATGACTCAGGCAGAGCAGATTTAAGGGCTCAGTAATCCAAACTCATCAATAACACAATCTGAGAGGTAGGAGGGCAACAGCGTGCTCCAATATCAAACTGCCCAGGCCCTTTCCTAACTCTGCCGTTACCTGGGAAATAACAGATGAATTTCCGATTTTGTCTGGCTGACAAAAATAGACTGCTAGGGTATAACCATTGGAATGAAATTAAGCATAGTATCTGCCTGGATAAAATTTTTCTACAATGTAAGAAAGTTCTGAGTCATGCCTACACAGTCAAGTGTTTGTAGCTTGGAGAAACAGAGGCTCAGAATAGGGGCTGGAAGGGCTAGTTTACAAATCCTATGCAAAGACAGAGGATGTTCCACAGTTTTCTGGAAGGAGATGTACCTCTTGGCATCAGGAAGGACAAAAAGAGGACAAGTCATGCCATAGAAAGGTCTCCAGTCCTGAAAAGCAGACAAGCTACCACCTCTACGTGCCTGAACCTCAGCAGCTGGCCCCCAAACTGGTTCTGTTGGTACATGTTCTCAGACCCCTCATAGTAATTGCTCATGGGTCAGCACCCTTCTGAAGTCAATTCTAGCTGGTCAAATATACAAGTGTTTATAATTGAATCTTCCCGATAATTCTAAACAAACCCAAAACAATATATAAATATGAATCTTCTACAATTACAAGGGAACAATAGCATGGTTTCTACTCTATTACTAATGTAGTCAGTACACAGTCATTCAGGTGGAGTGCTTGTTCTAAATTTTAGAAGCAATGCCCTGTCATGCCTAGTCTGGAGTATAGGTAGCCAATAAAACACCAAATTCAGCTTGCCTGAATTTGAGACTCAAAGCTAGAGCATTCTCTATCTCTGGAAGAACAAATTCTGTGGAGGACATCAGGCCACTTAGGACATTTACCCTCTAACAGTCAGTCTTCTTTGCTGGGCTTTGGTTTTATCATTTGCTGAAGTGAGGCAAGGGAATAAATAAGAGGCTGGAGGAGAGGGATCCAGCAGGTGGGACCTGGATATGGGCTAAGGATGGAAGCAGCGCGGCTCAGGATTTCCTGGAGAGAACAGGAGCATTGCCAACGGATAGGCCACAGAAATACCATCTGAGCAGCGGGACCAGGGGTGCACATCCTTTCCCTTGACCTCCCAGAGCTTGGCTCCGTACAGTGCCCATGGACTTGAAAATACACGTGGACACAGACCAGTCCCCCAGGCTTCAGGTGTGCAGGGCTCAGCTTGGTACTAGTCACGCTGTAGAGGTATGAGCTGCTCTACCCAGATATGTGCGACTGGCCACACATCAGGCACAGCCACAGGGGTTTTCAGAAAAACGCAGGCCCCCATTTCCAAATACAGAGCCCTCAGGCACCAGAGAGGCTGAGCCCAGGAAACAGCATTAACCTCATGGCAAGGCTGTCACTAGTTCCTAGCCACGTCCACAACACCCTATATCTTGAAGAACTGAAAGTACAACCAACTAAAGGAGATGCCATCGAATACGAGAATGTTACCACATCACCAGGATGCAAGGAATCACACCAGTTGGATCCTTGGTTTTAAATATTCTCTGATCTTTGAGAAAATCCACCCAAGGGAGTTTACTAAAGACCCAAATGGCCTTTGTCAAAATTTGTTTAACCTCTAAAGGTCAGACCAAGGAATGGCACCACTCCAGAAAGCAAGACTGCTGCAGAAAACCTTTTCTGACCCTTTCTTCAAGTGCTCTGCTTAAGAGTGAATTTTCCCCATTAATCTCCCTCCCATCCCTTTGATTTGGGAAGTCAATCCACATCAGTAGAAGGAATACATGAGGGGGAGCAATGGCATTATGCATTACCTTCAGACCACTGGGCACTTGGGAAGGAGAACCGAGTATTTCGGGAAACACTCAGATGGTGCACCTGTGATTTGTGGGACGTCATGAACGGAGCCTTTCAGGTCCCCATCGCAGGTAAGTGACAATGGCTGGGCAGGCCATGACAGGCTGTAGAGGTGCTCCCTCTGGTGCCAGCTGAGAACAGGTAACTCAGGGAGTCAAAACATACCAACACTAGGATGTCGCCTGAGTTTAGGTGAATAAAACCAGCAAAGGCTGGGTCAAGGCAAATATGTGGCTCAGATGAAGTTCCCTTTCATTGTCCTGCCAAGTCTACTTTACAAGTCCTGCTAGAATTCCCAACCACCCATACACATCATGATGGTGCACCTCATATACAGTTAATTTCTTCTGCTCTGCACATTTCCTAGCTACTTCCATGTATTAAAACTTACCTGCCTCAGGCCTCTTAGGAGGCTGTAAATTAATGATGGATAACCTGGCACACACTTTCTAATTAAAGTTTCAGTGACTGGCACCCAGGTACCTCCTTCACCAACTCACCTCACTGACCTTGAATATATTTTGATGTTTTCACTTTAGTACCATAGAGGTGATGCCTTCCACATTTCCTTGCTACATATCCCAGAGAGTGTGGATCATGTATTTATGGATGAATTAAGTCAGTGTCTCTCAAAGTGTGGTCTGTATACCACCATGTCACCATGCCGGGGTTGTGTGTATGGGGTGCTTGTTGAAAAAACCCATCTGTAGACCTCAGCATGAGCATCACCCAAGGAATTAGGTTCTGGGGGTGTCTTTCCAGGCTCCTTGTTGACTCCTCTGCACACCAAACCTGTAAACATCGTGTGGCACACACACAGCCACAGCTGCCCAGGTGCCGGGGATCAGAGAGAATATGAGAGCTTCAGACACGATTAATACCCACTATTAAGTTGTAAAACAGGTTCTCCTCCAAGTAGTGAAAAGCCTATAAAGTTGGCCTGCGTGTGTGTGGGCTGGGCAAGGGGTGCAGGGAGCTCTCTGTGCCTTCTGCTCAATTTTGCTGTGAGCCTAAAACTGCTCTAAAGAATAGTCTATTAAAAAAACACCTGACCTGCTGAAGAAGGAGCCAGTAAGTATGTGGCTCTGTGGCCCACCTGTTCTGCCTATGTGGGTCACCCTCCTTTTATCTTCTACTGATCCTGGCCTGACCTCCTCTGTGAGCCCCAGGCAGAGCCCTGCTGCAGGCTGCACAGGCCTGGGGACATGCCCGTGATAACAGTATCAGGGCACCCCTCCGGCTTGGTCCTGGTGAATCCAACATCCTGGCTTTCTCTGGCCACATTCCCCTTCCCAAGGTATAAGGAACTCTGTAGTTATGCGGTCAAGTTTGTTGAATGAATGAATGAGGGAAGGAATGAAGGTTCATCTGCTGAGACAAACATGGACACAGCGTGTTGGGCAGAAGGATGAGCTGGCTGATCTGTTGTTTTCTATCTCCGAGGCCCGGGATTCGTGGGCCTCACACGTGGAATATGTTACTATGTTCAATAGTCCAAATTGTTAAGTTCAGCACTTCCAGTCCCAGTGGACAAACGAAGCAACGCCACCGCCCAGCGCCATGGGGACAAGAGCGGCCACCCGAGTATTTCACGGTGGGGGAAGTGGGGGGCATCGGTCGGGGCGCTGGGGGCACGGGCTTGGTAAGGCTGGAAGAGCGCCAGGCGGTGCCCGCGCGGGCAGCCCCGAGCGGTACTAACCTGAGGGCGGGGACAGGGGAGCAGGTGCTACCAGAGCCTGAACCCTCTGCCGGGGAACCCCCCGCGGCCGGCGCCCGGCCCTTTCGGGGGGCTGCGGCGCGGCGGCGGCGCGGGCTTCGGGGGGGTGCGCTGCTTGGCAGGCGGGCGGCGCTCCGGGCGAGGGCGCGGCTGGCGCTCGGGCCTCGGGGGGGACCGCGGCTTGGCTGGCGCTCTGACCACGGCTGGGGGCGCAGCTGGCTGGACCTTGGGCCTCGGAGGGGACCTCGCCCGGCGGCTGGTGCTGGGGCGGGGACGGGGGCAAAAGAAGTTGGAGACTGGGCGGGGCTGCCCCAGGGCCAGGGCGCTGGAGTCTGGGGGTCGGAAGGCTCCTTCCGGCACCGTCCGTCCGCAGCGCCAACCCGGCGGACTTGGGGGAGGGGAGCCGCTGCCCCCGGCCCGGCCTCCCCAGGGCGCGGAGGTGACCACATCTGGGAGGTGGGGGGCTCGAAGCATCACGGACCCGGGAGGGCGTGCAGACCCTCTCGCGGAGCAGGTGAGCAGTGTGCGCCCGGTCCAAGCTGAGTAGGAGAGGGTGCTGGGGGCTGGGGAAGGTCGGCCCTGCTCCCCGCCTCCAGCTTTCCAGACTCCCTCCGGTACCCCCAGATGGCGGGGTTAACGACCCAGCATCACCGAGCAAGGAGACCAAAAGCTGCCCTGCTCCCCCCACCCTCAGAAGGCAGAGCCTAACGGGACTGTAGGGGGCGGGGCGCGCAGACCCTTTGGGGAGAGGGTGGGGGCGGGGCGCGCAGACCCTTTGGGGAGGGGGCAGGAAGGGGTGCGCAGACCCTTTGGGGAGGGAGCCGGGGGCCAGGGGGGCGGGGCGCGGAGCCGCAGGCCCCCACCTGGTCCTCTGGCAGGCACAGCAGATCCAGTCTTCCTCCTTCTTCTGGTAGAAGCAGCCGCTCTTGCAGATGCTGTACTTGCGATCCACGATCTCGCGCGTGGAGTTGAGGAAGGTGAAGGGCGGGCAGCAGCGGATGCTGAAGTGCTCGGAGAGCCTCTGGTTCTTGGAGAGCCGGCGGCCCTCCTTGCGCGCCTTCTCACTCATCTCACTGCGGGGCGGGAGAGGCGGGGGTGAGCTCGGCCGGCCCAGCGCACTGCCACCCGCACCCCGCTAATGGCCGTCCAAGCACTATAAAAAGGGACTAGATTAAAAGTGAATAATTTGTATTTGTGAGGCTTTTAATCATGTTTCCTGAAAATGAACTCTTACTTATATTTTAGTGATCCATTTAGGATAGAAAAGATTACAAAACCACACAGTCGTGACAAAATAATAACCTAGACTTAGGAAAGGCCTTTTCTCTAAATAATAAAGAATAATTAGTTATTAAAAACAATCACGTGCTCGCTTCGGCAGCACATATACTAAAATTGGAACGACACAGGGAAGATTAGCATGGCCCCTGCGCAAGGATGCCACGCAAATTCGTGAAGCGTTCCATATTTAAAAAAAAAAAACAAAGAAAACAATCACTATTCATACAAAAGAAATACTATTAAATAATGCAAAAGAACAAAACCCTGCTACATCAACATATTTGACCCCACAAACGCTGTATCGGTCAGTGATTGAATTTAAATGATTCAATTTGTAAAAGGTCCAAAAACCGGCAAAACTTGTCTATCCGGTGCTAGAAAGTAGAACGTAGCTGTGTTTGGAGAGGGTGGGGTCTAAGAAGGGGCTGGGGGAGTCTGCAGGGTGGAAAATGTCCTGGATTCTAGTGGGAGAGATGATTACTCAGGTGTATACATAGGTAAAAGCTCACTGAGCTGTGCGCTTGGCTTTTGTGTTGTTTTACTGTTTACCTCAGCTAAAAAGGAGGAAGAAGTAGAGATAAGGAGACTGAGAAGGGACCAAAGAGAGATGTCAGTATTAAGAAAGTTCCAAAGGGGAGTAAAAACTGAATTACTCCAGCATCCTTTCTGGGAGTGTGACAAATGCAGAAATACCCTAGCACTCCCAGCCCTGACCACACTGGGACTTAAATGACTATTAATCAAAAAGTCAGCAAGTATAGATGGGTGATGCATGTATGCTAGACACTGAGAATGTCCCTGCTTTCAGTAAAGTCAAGGTCAAGCTGGACACACAGCTGTACAGCAAATAATTGCAGAACAGAGATGGCAATCCGACCTCAGGAAGCATGTGCAAAGCTCGGGACAGCATGGAGAAGAGCTGGATTTGAAAACAGAAGCTGTGGTCTGGGTTTTAAGGATGAATATATTAAAAGCAACTAAGTTATCCTGAGGGCATGTTTTAATTTTTGTGTTTTGATGTGGCTGTCTGCTGCTACAAATGGAAATGCGGGCTGAGGAGCAAGTTGAATCATGAAAAGAAAATACAGTATTTCCCCTCTGTTTGTATAGCTGGAATTATGTGTGTTTTTCCCCTCCATTCATATACCCCGAATTACGTGTTACACATATTATGTGTAATGCGATTGTTCTTTCCCAGTGTTTCACCTGCTTTTATCATGCAACAACAATTTTTATGTAATTAAGTTTCTTACTGTTTGGGGTTGTATATTTTGGCTAGGAAGGTCTTCCCCACTCCATCATCTTTTCTTATTGAAATATATTTGATATACAATATTATATTGGTTTTGGGTGTACAACATAGTGACTCAACAATTTATATGCATTACTAAATGCCCACCTGTGGGATTAATGGTATTAATACATAAATCAAATAACATAGAAATCGAATGTACAAATACATATGACTTGATTGTTTTTCCTACAACTCTTAATGCATGATCAAAAACAGAATGATTAGAGCCAAAACAGGTCCTAAAACTCCTGACTGCCCTCACATGGTTTTGGTGTCCTTGAGGAGGGTCACGTCCTAGGGCTAGACTCAAGGTCAGATAATGATGGTGTGTTGATCATGTGTTGAACCCCCTACTCAGAATTCTTGAGATGTTTAAGTTCATTTGCTCAATAAATATAAGGAGTGCCTTTTCGGCATTACTCTTGTGCTGTGACACCTTGAGTCCCCTGTCTGGTCTTTCATATCTTCAGTGTTCCATCATGTTCCCTCCAAATCTGTGGGTCAGAGGCCGAGGGGAACCCACACCCACCACAGTGAGTGTAGTTATCAGCAGTTACCAGCTGTCACCATACTAAGAAGTTACTTCCATCCCTGTGACGAACTTAACAATTAACAAGTTTGTCCCTCTTGGTCCCCTCACCCCTCACCCATCCCCCCACATCCTTTATGACAGCCACCAGTCCATTCTCTGTATTTATGAGCTTGTATTCCCCTCTATCATCTTTTAAACATACTCTTGTATATTTCATTATAAAGGAGAATCCTCTTTGGACCCCACTTTCACACCTGTTTTCCTCCCTGTAACTCCTCCTCTCTATAGGCAAAGTTCTTACAAATTCGTCCATACTCTTGTTCGCCCTTTTGACATCTGTTCCTCCCCGGTACACTCTAGTCTGGCTTCTGTTCCTTTCCTCTCAAAGAAAAGTGGTTCCCCAAAGACCCCCCCCCCCACTGCACCCTTGTTTTATTTGATGCCTTTCTCCATCTGAACTCTGCCCTTTCTTGCTCACAACACTTTCTCCTGGATTCCCAACTTCACCTCCACCCTTCCTTCTCAGTTTCTCTGACAGGCTCACCTGCTTTATCCAAAACTTTCAATTAACATCAAGGTTCGTCAGGGTGCAGTAAATACTAAGTGATGAATGGGGTTCTGTCAACCACAGAATTCAGCATTTATCATACCATTTATGATGTGCCTACACAGTGCTCAGCTGTGGGCACAAAGCTGAATCATGCTCAGTCCAGTCCTCAGAAACCTTACCCATAACTGGGGTTCCAGGCAAGGATGCACGCACATGTTAATGGCTAAAATACACACTGATAGAGCCCAAATATGTCCACAACCCTAAGGTGAGGGAGTGAAGGGGATGGCTCAGCCAAACATCCTGGTGGTAGCAGAAATACAGCATTTACTTCTTTGGTTCATGAATTATTTTGAAAAATTGGTTGTGAAATACCCAAGCACATGGAGTTACTTGTTACAAGGACTTCTAAGTTTAACACATTCTAGTCAGAGAACATGGTGTGTCTGGTGATAGCCACTTGCATGTTGAAATTCACTTTGTGGCCCAGCTCTTGGTCAGTCTTTTTAAATGCTCCTCAAGTACTTGAAAAGCTTGTGATTTCCAGTAACAATGCGGCATTACCTAGTGAAAATAAAAGTGGGCACAAACTGGGCATCTATTCGTGGGTGCAGTGGCCCCCTTGAGTCATGTTCAGCCTTGCAGATGAAGCCACCTGGTTAAGCACAAAGCGGTGTTGCCCAAGTCCTTGCTGGCTGCAGCCGCTCTTCCAGGCCTGGGCCCTGCAACACTGAGCACCTTGTACACCAGAGACGACCTCCCATCTCATTGGAACCACTCTTACTTTCAGTCATGAGCAACCAAATATGATTCCAAATTAATAGGCCTGGTTTTCTCACCTAAAAGAGGGTGTCTCAGTCCATTCAGGCTATGATAACAGAACAGCTTAAACTGGGGGCTTATCAACAACAGGCATTTATTTCTCAGATTCCGGAAGCCAGGAGGTCCAAGTTCAAGGTGCCAGCAGATTTAGCTCCTGATCCAAGCGGCTTCTTCCTGTGTCCTCACTTAGCAGATTGAAAGAGGGAGCTCTGGGGTCCTCGGAGGGTCACTAAGCCCATTCATTAGGACTCCACCCTCACAACCTAAGCACCTCCACAGGGCCGCCTCCTGACACCATCACAGTGGAGATAAGATTTCAACATGTGAAAGTTGGGGGATGCAAACCTTTTAGTCCATAAAGAGGTGAATAACAATATGCTTAATTAGGAGGGTCTTTCAAAGTATCCAAATAAAATTAAGTTAGAGAGAGAACCTAGTTAAATATGTACAACTCCCCATGTGACCATGCTCTGGCCCATGAGATGCAGGCAGACGTCCAGGGCAAGACATCTTTTCCTTAATAATAGGGCTTTTATCCAGGAAGGGGCTCTCCCCTCATGAGTGCAGCTGGCCCAACCCAGCTGGCCCTGGCCCCTAAGAGGCAGGATTATTTCAAGCCCTCATCCCATAGGGCTTCTTCCCCTGCTGCCTGCCCCTGCCACCCAACAGCCACACAGAAGAGGCCTCCAGTGCTGCAGGGCTCAGCCCAAAGCCAAAACCCTTCTTCTACAGGAGACTTCGCAGAGCCTCCCCTTCCCCCAGGGGGAGATGATCAGTCCCCCTTTAGTGCCCTGATCTTCTATGCCTGGAGACCACTTGGAAACCTCAGTGCCACCCACTGTTTCACTGTCCCCTTGACTTTTCCATCCTCAAATCCCTGTTTACTACCTGGTGCAGAGCAGGTATGTGTTCACTAAATACTTGATTGAAATGAGAGAGTGGTGAAAGGCTGCCTCTGGGGGCTGCTGAGCCCTGCCTGTGGCTGCTTGTTCCCCCCAGTCTCTGCAGCAGTCCTGAGGCCCCTCGGGGACTCGCTCAGGTAACAGCGTCTATTCAGTGGAAAAGGTGACACAAGAAGGGGCCTTTCTATCCAAACTTAAAAGTTATAAAACTGGGCTGTTTGGGAAAAAATCTTAAAAAGACTTTAAAAAACACGCTACACTTTCTCCTAATTCATACAAATTAGTTAGCAAGCTTTAATCAACACACCCACTTGAATTACACATTCTGGAGATGGCACTACCACCTACGTAACCACCAGTGTCACTGGTGCCCATAAGCACAGCTTCACTGTTCCCTAAGGAGGCTGCAGGAACCCTGAATATAAAATGTATTTTCTTCTGTCCTTCCTACCATCTCTTCCTGAAAGGCAGCTGGGACGTGGGGTAACTGTCTAACCAAGTAGTGTGAGGCCCTTAGTCCTGTGCAGTCTTCGGGGGAAGAAGGACAATTCTAATAGTGAGTGACATGTGCCCTCCCCATGTGCATGGCACCACAGAAGGCAGGCTGGACGTGGGTATGCGCTGCAGGGTGGAGGGCAGATGCATTCATTGCTCTATACATCCTTAAAGCAGGCTGGCTTATTAAAAGAGGG